ATTTATTATTATTATTATTTACATATATTTATTTAAAATTCTCTATAAATTACATTTTTAAACACTACTTATAAAATAAAAATAATATTTAAAAATATAAAAAATAGGAGCCGACCAGTAGCGGGAGCATGGTCCAAGCTACCGGTGGTTAGGGCTCCAGAGACAGAAACCTCCTCACGATACGTGCCGTTTCTAGGAGAACTGCCTTCTGTATCAGGCCCTTGATCCATCCACCTAACGCCAGCCTCCTAAGATGGATGTCGAGGCTTTTAGGGATTAACCCATTGGCCGACACGACTATCGGCACAATGATAGCCGAATCCACACTCCACATGTCGACAACCTCGTGAGCTAAGTCTAGATATTTTATTTGTTTATCTTTCTCAGCTTTCACGAGGTTCTCGTCATGGGGAATGGTGACATCGATTATCAAGTTGGGCTTTAATTTGTGTATGTAGGATTTGTTTCGCTTGTATGTAACCTAAATATTTGTATGTGCCGTTTTCATCTAAAGAATCAATATTTTCACCTGACTGTAGTTGATATGAATGAGTGTAAGTTTTTCCTGATTTGACTGAGTTAATATTGCATTTATCTATTCCAAAATCCATTGCAATTTCATTTGAAAATATTTCTGTGGTGTCTGCTAGTCGATGTAGATCTTCCGGGGTAGACGCATATAGTTTTATGTCATCATCTTTATTAATTTGTTTTGATGATAACTATACACCTAATTGGTGTGTGATTGTCATTAGTGATCTGATGATGAAGGAGTATGATGGCTAAGGGAACTCCTTAACGGTTGACAATAGCTACTTGGTGTTTGGGCATTATTAATTTGTTTTGATGAGAACTTTACACCTAATTGCAGTGTGTTTGTCATTAGGAGCCTGATGATGAAGGAGTATGATAGCTAACGGAACTCCTCAACGGTTGGCAGTAGCTACCTGGTGTTTGGCTTGATTAATTTGTATTACCGAAAACTTTACACCTAATTGGGATGTGATTGTCATTAGGGACCTGATGATGAAGGAGTATGATGGCTAAAGGAACTCCTTAACGGTTGACAGTAGCTACTTGGTGTTTGGGCTTTATTAATTTGTTTTGATGAAAACTTTACACCTAATTGGGATGTGATTGCCATTAGGGGCCTGATGATGAAGGAGTATGATAGCTAACGGAACTCCTCAACGGTTGGCAGTAGCTACCTGGTGTTTGGCTTGATTATTTTGTATTACCGAGAACTTTACACCTAATTGGGGTGTGATTGTCATTAGGGTCCTGATGATGAAGCAATACGATAACTAAGGAACTTCTAAACGATTAATAGCTACTATTAATCTACGCAACGCTGCTATTAATCTATTACCAACGCAAACGTTGCTTAATTTCGCTTGCGTTGTGTTTTCCTTGAGTGATCTACCTCTGTTCCAAATTGTATCCCGGTCCTTTCAGCTGTTTTGATGTGACTGTGAAACAAACATACGAACTCGGAATTTTTATACGTCGTCGGGTATACTGAATTTATATTTCTGATATCCCTTACTCTCTACCGGCGAATTTTGTTACACATCTTAGAAACTGATGTGCTTTCTCCTATAATATTTTTACGTTCCAATTGTATTACTTTTTCTATAGGTGTTTAAAGTAAAGTAAATCTGCGTTGGCGTGGTGATTAATTTTAAACCTTCTCCGTGTGAGGAGGCTTTGTTCAGCAGTGGGCACTTATAGGCTGTTGATGAAATCTACGTTCAACTACAAATACAATCTTCGATAATGACGAACACCGATACTGTTCAGGTGTAAACATTTTCTGTTAGGGTTTCTACATAGAATATTAGTATAATCGGAATATTTGTATTAGATGAGCTATTAACGAGATCAAGGAAATAATCATAAAGATGATCTTTTACAATTAGATTAGCGATTCACTATCTACCATGTTTTGTATTTAATCGCTTTATACATTTTGACAGATGCAATATAACACGAAGCTGTACAAATAGTTCAATCTCATTAATTACGGGATTTTGATCAGTCAGTTCTGTTTAATTATGTTCATTTCCGACAATTTATTAGTTTTTAGCTTATGTTTCGTTGCTTAACTGTACAAATACTCGATGCCCACTTTTGAGTTTTATTGTACTGATGTTTTTATACCTGTATCTTTGAAAAATCTGGCAAATACCATTTGTTTGGGTAGTATAATTGGAGAAAATAAACAAAATTCATACTTTCTAGACTCAATGTATTCTGTAGAAGCCATACCTAAATCATTTCTTGATTGAGTATTACCGTCAACAGCATCAATCTCTTTTCGAATTAACCTCTTAGTTCTCCTTCTAGTGACTGTAATAAAACGTTCTTCACTTTCTCTCGCTCGTTTTTCATTGGTGTTGCACCTGCGAACTCTTCTCCATGTGAACTGATTTCTCGGATTTGTTGTTCAGACTCTGTTTATCTGTTACAATTTCAGAATTGCTTTTGTAATCGTTACTTACCTCTATACATGTAATATCACTATTATCTATAAAGTACCTTTAGGCGGGTAGACGGCAAACACTCGCAAAAGCTAGTGTCATGTTTTCGAAAAGAAGATGGCTTTCGATTTTTGACTCTCAATGAATAAAATGTTCTTTATACTTTGATCTGATTTTCAAGTTGGGGAGATTCGATTTTTTTATTTTTTCGGTTTTCGAAAATTCTTAGGTTTCTGGTTAGGTATTACATTAGATTTTTATAATACAATTGCTGAAAATGAAGTTTGAAACTGAGAATGGCTTCTCTGCCTAATTCTTGGATTGTAATTATTTTAGATACAAGTATTGAATAGATATTGAATATATAGTAATAATTCAATGGATTTTAAACGATTATACATTATGTACGTTAAATGGCCATCCATATGTAATAAGTGACCACTTATAACTTTTTTGGTGGATCATATTGACTTAACTTAGTTCATCAGTTTGTCAAAACCTTATGCAACAATTACAGTGCATTTTAGATATTTTGTTGATGCAAATTGCACATGTAGAAGACTTCAACGCGCCAAGCTCGTGTTCTCGAAAACTTCAACTGAAAATGTAATATTTTCAGCGATATTTTCAAATATACTTATTATTTTATTGTATTTTTCAAGCCGTTTGTTCGTTGTTCATCTTTTGGTGGAGTGTCAGAATATGTTTCCTTTTCATGTTTACTGGACACATCTTTCACAGTATTAAAGTACCCATCAGTATACGTATAGTGCAGTTGCACGTTGCATATTATTATTCATCTATATGTCATAGATGAATCTGCCGTATTACATTACGGCTAGCCGTTTAGCAAACCAGGGATGTTTTGCTAAACCTGAGAAACGATGTATGTTTTTCGCACAATTCCCACGGCAACGGGAACTATACGTTAAAGTCACGGAGCTCTCGATCTCTTAAACAACTGAACTTGTTTTAGAGGTCTTCGGAATAACAATAGAAAGAAAAAAAAACCTTATTTCACATGCTAGGATCGGGTGACATGTACACATTATAGTATTATTTACTAATGGGTACATATGCATGTCTCAAGTCTGCGGTGAAACGGGACCAGTTCAGTATGTGCAAGACAGGGCTATGCGCTGGTTTTCTACTGGCCCCTTAAGTGACTCGCAGGCGAACAAGCCACGTTATCACTAAAACCTCACGGGAACGGACACTGTACTAGTAAAATCCCTGCAGAATTATTTATTTTTTGAAACCACGATAATTAAATTATTTCACTATAAATCTAAGTAAGGCACTGAATCGATTCTGGTGGCATTTGTCACAGCCGTAGAATATACCTTGGAAAAGACTGATTCAAAAATCCAAATTCTGCCAATAGTCATTATTCTACACGGACGAAGTCGGTAACAGCTAGTTTAATAACAATTACTTTTCATTGCAGAAAATTTTAAATAATGTAATCCGCCTAAAACAGGACAAGGAGCATAATAAATTGATAATATCAGTCAACAGATGGACACATTTTATTCGTATTAAAATACACAGAAATGTAACCTACACACAAAAACCGGGTAAGAACTCTTTTCATTCATTAGGAAAGTGTCTAAGTCATGTGAGAAATTCAAAAACAAAAATAAATATTTGTTTCAGACTCAAAACTTCGTAATAAGTTGGTACTAAAGTCAATTGTACCCGCTCAAAGGCCTGGAACTCCATCCTGGGCCCAATACTTCAAGAGAAATATATGCAAAAAAAAAGTCAAACGTTTGACCAGGCTCCATAGAAGTGTTTATGATATAAAGATCTATATGAGTTCTCAAGAAAGCACTTCTTCTTCTTCTACGAGTCAGCTACACTATAGTCCTCTTTTGAGGCCCGAGATCCGACGAATTCGAAGACTATTACCCCCTATACCCCGTAACTTGCCACAACGTCAAGTAGGCCGTAGAGTAATAAACTTGCCATTTCCGAGCCGCTGGTCACATTGGGAGAGTGTACAACCTACATTGAGGCTACGATCATTGCCTGTCCCCGTACGAACCTTACCATACCCTCTCTGGCTTAATGGGTATCTAAGACGAGAAGCGACACCCCAAGCAGGCGTGACGCGTCAGGGACAGTACGATGGTCTAAATGTACCGGATCCACCAAGACGCTACCCGGTTTGTCTAGAGGCTACATATAGAACCCACCGCCGTCTAATACCACCACTCCCACCAAGACGACAATTACTCCCCAACTATACAAGAACGAACCCTGGGTTAGATAGACAACATAGTCGCGAAGTAATGCCCCAAGCGATTGTTAGCAGACCACAGAATTATAATAATGAGGACCACCTACCAGCTGTGCAAAGACGCTGCGAATATAAACCTGACCATTTACAACTCACACCAACAGATCGGCGCTTCGTGACTCCCCCTTCAAATCTGGGATCACAATTACGCGATACTATATCGCACAGCAGCCAACCACCAACCGCAAATATGTCATCACATTCATCAACACCAAGCGCAGTACTTTGTAAATCTCCGCCTATAACAAAGACATTCGTTTTAGAAGAAAAAGAAGGAAAACATGATGACTATCTTTATCACTGGTCTTACAGAGAAAATAATGAATGTGAAACCCAAACGAAGAAAAACATGACAGAAATTAAAAACCCACTGTTTTCTCCATCATCTTTGAAGAAAGATCACGAATTTGGAGCAAACCGGTGTGAGCTTTTCAAAAATCTCGAAGAGCCCATCAAAGTCCTATCACCGTCATCTTCAAAGTGGGTGCCACCAACGTGGGCTAAGTGGCTTTCCCCGTCTCCTGATGTAGGAATAGAGTCATTCCAAGAAACCGTTGATATTGAAGGTCAAGCGAGTGTAGTTTCTACAGAAACGGGTCCGCTTGAAGAACTTAAGGCTGTAGATTCGGTGATAACATTGACCACAAAAAATGAAATACATATAACTAAAGCGGACGAAGACCGTACGTACTTTTTATTTTGATCAATTCTAGGTTTATAGCTATAACTAATTCTGCGTCATTCTTCTTTTCTAGAGGATGGACAGCTACCTATGAGATTCGCTATTCCCGTGAGACCAAGATCATTACCGAGAAGGGTCTTGGCGCGTTGTATAAATATGATGACGAATTGTTGCACATGGATGAACATGTGGGGACACTCAATATTTAAAACTGAAAGCTCCGACAGGTACGTGGGTATTAATTATTTCATCAAGTTCATTATTATCATTTAATATTCAGTTTGTGTACACATATATGTCTTATATTTTAAAGGTAATTTATGGCATTGAGATCTCATCGGTAAACTTTGTTTATAGTGTTCTGTTTTTATAATTTAAATGTTGTTTGTCTCATCGACTAAACTTAGGGGCTGCCTCCAAGAGCGAGAGAATCGCGACGAGTCCGCCCTTATATCGTCGGATAATCTCCACGAACGAGCGATAATTCCACCGCGTATCGTCGCGAGTCGTTACGGTATCGCGGCGATTCCGCGGCGACTCGTAACGGTATCGCCGCGTTTCCTTGACGTCACACTTGAGGCAATGCTGAAATGACGCTGCGTTTGACAGCGCGCCGCGGTCGCGTTGCTAGTCGCGGCGGGCTAGCGACGATGTAATGAGGTTTTGCGCGCTCGTTGCCACTCGTCGCATCGCGGCGATAATATCGCCGTGTGGAGATGGTTCCATAGAGTGTATAGAAAAACGTGGCACGGCGATAATATCGCCGCGATTCTCTCGCTTGTGGAGACAGCCCCTTAGGCCAAGATTGACAAACCAGGAAAGCTAGGAATACGTCTATGTAGACTCATTAAAGAGAACTTTTCTATATTGCTTTTCTTCTTCTGACACTAAATCATATAACATCCTCTTACTCATTCTCAGCAAGAGTATGGGATGGAATTATTGTATCCATCCCATGCATCCATTGTATGCAGATTTCACATCGATCTTGGCCTAAGTATACTTTACTATACAGGGCACAATTCTAGATTTTGTACTGTTACAAAGAATTTTGCAGTAAGAAAACGTATGATTCATCCTGCAACCTCGTGATTGGCAAAAGTGGTTACAAAAATATTCTCAAGATTTAGGTAATGAGAGGCTGAGTAGAACTTTAGACTAAAATTACGCATTTCGCGAATGTTCAGGTTTTTAGTTACAGCGAGTTAGCTAAGGCATCATTGCACTATTTTCCAACAACGAATTTATGAAACGGTTGCGATCGTATAGGGAAATGTTCTCGTGTGTTTTATAGAAATGATGTTGATGTGTGTAACAAGGACTTCTTTCTGTTGGTGCAGGACGGATTCCATTGAGTCCGAGTCGAGCTCTAGCCTGAGTGGATCCGTACGTATCTCTAAAACTTAGTTTTCTAAAGCATTTTGTTTTATGTAATCTTATAACTAGTCTCAGTAATATTGCTTTCACCAGTCGGTTATTCAATATTAAACTTTGATATTTTACATTCCTATAGATCGAGTCGAGTGACAAACGACAAAAAGACAGCACAACGGATTAACTAAACTGTATTTTTACAAACCTTTGTTTGGTTTTTGAAAGATATTCAACTCTGAAGTTTATACTGTTAATAACTTAACGTTAAAAATAATAATAACTTTTTTCCAATAGTTCCGATTGAGCCAACTGTTGGCGCGAAACCAGCCAGCGCCGGTGATTGACGTAAGTGTTCAAATATAAATTTTATGACCTAGTTATAAAACTTAGAATAGCTTGCGACCTTTAGATTCAATGAATAAATAAATATTAAAACTGTGTGGTACTAAGCGCATTAAAATCACCATCAACATGTACGTACATGGTTTACAAAATGCGATGCTCTTACTAAAGAAATTCATTTGAAAATTCAATCAACAAAGACTGAATGAAGTAGTCGATAGATTACATTAAAACATGAGGTAAAACAGGTGAATGTGCCCACTGTGTTCTTTCTTAGGGTTGCCCCCAAACTGCAAATTTTTTATAGCTTAGTAGTCTCTATGCTATGCGCTGCTAGCGATGAATTAAACAGATACCCATTACATGTTTTTCTAGCTGTATAATTTTTTGGTTCTAAACATAGTTCAATTTTGAAATCACTTAAAATTCAAAATATATATGGCAGCAGAGTATCACAATTTATAGGTTCATATTGATTAACAATACCTATTTACGTAGTTCCTGTTTCCAGGTATAAATCTTGTCGCAAGGCATACCTCAACCTTGCACTGATCCTGCTCCGTCTCACTAGAAGAAACCTCATCAACTGACTAAAAACGGGCCCAAATCAAGATTTTAAACGCAAAATTATGTACCAATGTAGTTGGCATTATAATTTAAATGTGAATAAGTTTATACCTACTACGACTACAAATATAATAATTTATTTGTTATCTATTGTAAACTGACATGAGTGGGCTGTGTGTCTAGTCAAAAACAGTGACAAGATCGGGAAATAACTTTTCACAAAGAAAAATAATAACCAATTAAACTATATCAGTCAATCGAAAAACTAACACAGGTACTAAATTTTTACTACCCAACAAACCTGCGAAGACGGAGTCACGTCGTAAGGATGTTTATGGAGACACACATGGAAAATGGAGACACACATGAAATCACTACCAACTCAAATGTCCGACTACAACTAACTATAATTATACCGTGCATACAATTAACTTCTTACATTATCCAAACAACGAGAACCAAAGACAAACCAGTAGAGAGGTGAATGGAGTTATAAATACAGAGATAACAAAAGACCACCAGAGAACTATTAGCCAAAGAGATGAAGTTATCTGATCATCTAGTCTGTTGTCAGTCGACAACAATACCTACAGGGCCACATTGTCAATAAATAAATATTAGTAAATAATTGGACAATACCTTATTTATCTATCTATATAAATAAAAATGAATTGTTGTTCGTTAGTCTCGCTAAAACTTAAGAACGGCTGAACCGATTTGGCTAATTTTGGTCTTGAAATGTTCGTGGAAGTTCAGGGAAGGTTTAAAAGGTGAGAAAAATGTTTTTAGGCTGTACGCTGTTTGCCGGGTCAGCTAGTAATATATAATAAAAATAATATTTAAAATAAAATAAATAGGTAGATATCATAATGAAACAAAGACATATAATTATTCAATATATTTAATCGTTACTTTGCCAGTATATAAGTAAGATGTAGAATTATGTGTACTATATATAAATAGGTAATGTTATAATGTATAAAGATGATTGTTAATATATATGTGGTTGTACAAATTTTCTTTAAAATCTAAATGTGAACGAAAATACATTATGTAATCACTAAAATGTGTTCGTCTTCTTTCATTACTTTAAACTTATAAATAGACAAACAGAAAAAAACAAAAACTTAACATTTCCAACTTTGTTAGAACAAAGTTAGGTCATAATAGTAAAATAGTCATAAATAAAATGCAGAGAAAATAAATTACAATAAAAAGAAAAAAAACAAATAAATATATTTATCATAAATATATATCTTCACACGTGGTGTTTCCTTTCCTGAAATAACATATTTACTGTCAGAAAGAAATATAAAGCAATAGATAAACAAAATTTGCAAAGGCGAAAATTGCAATGCACGCAAATAAATATGGGTACCCGAATTCGCATTGCTGTCAAAATAGACCAGTATTAATAATTTCCGATTTGCAATATCCACATTTGAATTTTGGTCAAAAAAGGCAACTTTTGACTGAGACTATACAAAAAATCAACCAACGTTGATTGAATACATCATTTTGACAAGGAACTTACATGATCATACCGAACTTGGTCTTCAGTCTTGTCTGGGCACGGACGGGTACCTCCTGTATGTAAGGGACTTCCTCGGTGACGCACTGTACGCCCGCACACCACCATAGAACTTGCCCTTCTGCGTTATAACCTCCAACCTTGCAGTCGCCTCAGCCCTCCCGAACTCATTCTCAATAGTAATCCTATAAATCCCCACATCTTCAATGGAAACCTGCTCAATCTCAAGGGTTCTCAACATGTCATCCTTTTCTTTCATAGTTATTCTGGCTGATGGGGTGATAATGATGCCATCTTTGTCCCAAGTAGTCCAAGGAGACGGTTGTCCTTTGACCGCACATTTGAATGTGACGTGGTCTCCCTCTTCGACCACCTTGTTGAAGGGGTACGTGTAGAATGAGGGCGCCATTTGTCTAGACGGACTGCATAGACGGCGGGCGTCAGGACCTGAGAAAAAAGGAGAATAGTTTATTTATTTGCTAGATTCGATAGTTTTACATGGAAAACACATTCGCTTAAACACCTGTTCAGTGTGCTAGGTTTATAATTCTGAGTAATATCGACACACCTGTACGAGACTCCTCATGAGGAATAGGTCCTGACTTACCTGGTGTTCTGGAGACCGATCTGGCAGGCGTGCTTCGTGGAGTAGAACGTGGAGTGGAAGCAGCAGAAAGCAGTGCTGGAGGACGTCGCAGCCGCTGACTGAGCGTATTCGGTTCTCCTGGAGCTGTAAAATGAAAACCACGCTTATAATTTTCCAATCTAGCCAGAATTTTTGCTATCACAGAGACTGCGGGTTCTAACCCTTGTCACTTTGAACGTAGCTTATCTCTCTATTAAAATTCTACCAGAATTATTACCTACATACCAGAATTTCGAAATCGAAAATCTTAGCGAAATACATAGATGATCGAACTGGCAATGGTTGTGATTGCATCTACCTCTATATACCAAAGAAGCTACAGATAGGTTTTTACTTGATATCTCGAATTTTATTCTAGAATTCTCTTAATTCAAGATATTAGGTAGAATAAAAATTATTAACTTTTTTTATAAAATCAGTAGTTTTGGCATAGATACGAGCGCCGCAAAGGAGATATGAGATATACATTTCAATATGCATAATTGAAAAAACTCACATTAACCCTCATTTCATTGGACCCTCGGGTACCGATCGAGACGTTGTAGATCAAAATTGCACCCGGATTATTTGCGACCTACTTATGCCGACTTATTGCAAGCATTTTCGTTTATACGAAATATACGATTCATCAGGAACAGGTCAGGGCAAGAAAATATGGCAAGTTCCTAAAGTGTGTATCACAATTACATGATCATTAGATCTATAAAGAACTACGTTATAAAAAATCTGCCGCTTGGTCGACTTTCACGTGGTGTAAATAATTAGTTTTCCCAAAATGCTAATATAAATGTACTTTGCAGTGCGCTGGCGCCAAAGCTACTTAATATTACATAAAAGCTGTCGAGACATAAATTGTAAGTAGTATAATTTTGTAGTCAACGGTTTTCTCTTAAAATGCACTGGAAAAAAACCGGCTCAAGCACGGCACCGCTATGGGTATTTTGCTTTGAAAACAATATAAAAAGGTTGTAAACGTGTTTCAGATTTTTAAAATGACGTTATGAAATAATCATGTCAAACGACCTACGATTTAAAATTCATATTTAAATAACAAGTTAATTTCTGGGTTGGCCATGCTGATACCGTGCTTGTTAGGTGGTTGTCATCCTGGATACTTACCGCTGAAGAAAACATTACTTATTTATATAAGCTATATAGCCTAGACTGATCATAGGTTAATTTACTTACATTCAGGTCTAAAGAAGCAGCGGAGGTCTAATAAGAGCCACTCTAGGTACAAAATAACTGGCCAAAAGTGGCTGTAAATTGTGAAAACTTTTACAATTCTATACTTAACATCCAACATAAATAAACATATCATCACGCTTTTTATCCCCGAAGGGGTAGGCAGAGATGCACATTATACCACTGTATAATGTAAAAACCACTTTTCACTATTTATGTTATGAGTCCCATGTAATAGGGGGTGAGCCTATTGCCATATACTGGGCACAATTCCAGACTCCGTGCTACTAGGTCCCCCTAGTAGCACGGAGCACGGCACCGGTATTATCTCGATAACTGATAACACAAGCGATTCAATTTTTACTAAAAATCTTAGGTGACTGCCACTGGGAGACTTCCCCCTAAAAATTGAATCGCTCGCGTTATTAGTTATAGAGATAATACAAGCGTACGGCGTTAGGTGCCGTCAGACGTTACGGGACTTCCCCCTACTGAGAATTTTTATAAAACCCAGTAATACTTTGCCCGATCCGGGAATCGAACCTGAGACCCCCTGCCCGGCAGTCGCACTTGCGACCACTCGGCCAGCGAGGCAGTCACGTCAAGTGAAGTCAAGTCAGCGTACTTAACATCCATTTTAGTTATTTTGGGTCACTGAGCCACCGGAGTAAGTATGTTCTTAATATTAGGGACTTACGATAGACTACGAGGCAAGCACTAGACGTGGCCTTGCCGAGGTTGTTGGCAGCCTCGCAGGAGTAGGTGCCTTCATCCTCAGCAGTAACTTGCGTGATCTTTAGCCGAGCGGCACCTTCTTCAAATGTAGATTCGAAGTCCGGACAGTCACGTATTAACTGAAATGTTTTAATTGATAATGTTTTATACTGGTAATGTCGCTATTGGATTAGCTACAATATTGGCAGAAATGTTATAAATCTCATTTAATTGTCGGCCAAGCTAAACAAATATTATAGATAGACTTCTTGGTATTGACTACTGAGAGTATCGAAATTTTTTATGTTTGTTTTTACTTTATGCATCATCCTTATACCAAGTTGTTTTGCCGCAGAACGAAAATGAAATAGATTAATGATTTTATAATAACGGTAATTTTATCATACACTCAGGCCCGCCGTCGTGCACAGCACACGGGCGCACAATCATGAGGGGCGACAAATCGAGCGACTCATTACTTAATATTCAAAATCATTGTCCAGAGTAAGCAGAAAGCATAAGAAATATGATCGCCGGGAAAAAATCCCACTCGACGCAAGCAATATTAGCGTTGTGTATTACGTTTGAGGCCCTATACCGGTCAGTAGCGACTTAAATTCGAAATCTATCGAGCGTTCTTGAAAACTATTAAGCGTTCACGATCACATTCTATAGTCACTCGAAAACTATCGAGAGTCCTCGAAAACTATCGAGCGTCCTCGATCACTTTCGAGCTTCCTCGATCACTTTCGAGCGTCTCCGAAAACTATCGAACGGCCTCGATCACTTTCGAGCGCCCTCGAAAACTTTCGAGCGACCTCGAAAACTATCGAGCGTCCTCAAAATCTATCGAGAGTCCTCGAAATCTATCGAGCGTCCTCGAAATCTATCGAGCGTCCTCGATCACTTTCGAGCTTACTCGATCACTTTCGAGCGTCTCCGAAAACTATTGAGCAGCCTCGATCACTTTCCAGCGTCCTAGATCAGTTTCGAGCGTCCTCGATCAGTTTCGAGCGTCCACGAAACCTATCGAGCTTCCGCGAAAACTATCGAGCGTTCTCGATCACTTTCGAGCATCCTGGATTACTTTCAAGCATCTTCGAAAACATTCGGGGTCCTCGATCACTTTCGAGCGTCCTCGATCACTTTCCAGCGTCCCGATCATTTTCTGACCAGGCGCACTGTTAGTGGCCACGGCCCTGTATGTTATTACTGGAGACGCACTCGTTGAAGAGTTTTGTCTTCAGGTTTTGCGGTAGTTGACGAAAAGACCCGATAGAGTTTCCTATATGCCGCCCAGCCAAACTGTATCCTTCTACGTCGAGGACGCTCGATAGTTGTTTCTACCAAACTGTACGGTTTGTCCTAAGAACATGTTCATTGAATATCACCTTCGTTTTGTCTAGGTTCATCCGGAGTCCAATGCGAGCAGAAGAATCAGCCAGGATGTTCAGCATATATTGTACATAGGTACAATGGCAGAAACTGTGGTTTCAGCCACGGTGACGATGTCATCTGCAAATCTCTGAGAGGAACTTGCCGTTTATATTGATGCCCCGTCCCTTCCAGTGCAGCGTCTTGAACATATCCACCAAAGCATTGGTACCAGCACCCCCTCCCCCCAGGTTCAGACTGCTGGTCCTGTACTTGGACGACCTTAGTTGCAGCATCGTATAGATCACGCTTGTACATATCGCCAATCGACTTGGCACCGTAGCAATCCAGATCAGACCAGATTTCAATAGACTCAAACCGTCTTATTACAAAACCCGATCTATTTTTAGTACCAGGATTAATACTAGGTTTAAACCATGACTAAATAAAACGTTATTATAAAACAAAGTTTATCACTACTTCCGGAACTATCTATGGTACTAAAGTTAAACCGCCGAGACCCCTAGTTTAACTTCGGTACTAAAGTTATTTGAGGTTAGCTATCAGAAATATTTACGTGTATCTTTTATATTATTATAACTAGCGACCCACCCCGGCTTCGCACGGGTGCATTATGCATGTATTATACATACAAACCTTCCTTAAGAATCACTCTATCTATTAAAAAAAACCGCATCAAAATCCGTTGCGTAGTTTTAAAGATCTAAGCATACATACGGACATACAGCGAAAGCGACTTTGTTTTATACAATGTATTGATTGTAAAATAGATATTGAACCGATTGATGTTATGGATTTAAAATTTTTGGAAGATTTGGACATGTTAGAGACGTCTCGGCGATCGTTCAGACATCGCCATCGTGTAAATCCCTTTGACTTGAGTGACGAAGACTTTCGATATAAGTACAGTTGTTGTTCCATTTCCAGTCAGTCACAATAAACAATAATTTTAATATAATAAAAAAGGCTCAATATTTGTTTCGTGATTCGTGCTCTGCCGCCTTCTTATAAGTCGCTCCATTTCACGCTAGAGGTGTTAAAAAATATGACAACTTGGTTATAAAAAGCTCGTCGAAATACAAGTTGTGCTTGTTCACTATATTGTAACACAAACAAAAAACAATTTATGATATAATTTTGTGTTGATACATAATTATTTAAGCATTTCAGGAGATTTCAGGCGTTATTGTAATAACAATATTTAGACGAACGGAACGTTGCTTCAAGTGGATCCTGAATGAACGAATGAAAGAATGCTATTTATAATAAATAAATAAATAAAATTTATTAAAAACAACATGGAACACATTTAGAATTACAGTTCGCTCAGATTTTATAGTAATAAAAAGTCTTAATAATAACACTCGTAGTTTACTTAATCTAGTCTTATACAATATACATGCGAGGAAATAACGTTCTAAGTATATATAGGGATTACCCGAACTAGGTTTATAGATGCGTCAGGGCTTCAGAACATCATGAAGTCATCGTGTACGAGAACAGGGGTGAGGACTTGAGTTTCCTCAAAAAGCCAGTTCGATACGCGCTAAGGGTGGATTCTTCAAGCGGCTCAGAGCGTCTACAACAAAGATATAGGCAACAAAGCGCTCTGCAACAACACCAACAAAACACCGAGAGGGAAAATAAAAAATTAGAATCACGAGGTAGAGTGTGGGCAATAATAGCGGCCATATGCTCAGTAACCGGACTGATTTCGTCACCCTTCAGAAAAAATGTGGTTAAATCTGCTCAAGGATCAGGAGGCGCACAAATACAGTCTCCTCCCCCCAGGTCATCACCAACAAGAGCAGCTATGGGTCACGTTTGTCCGCCGAGGCTTCGACAAGCGTCCACTACCAGAGACGATGTCGTAAATGCTTTTCTCGAGTTTACCGCAGTGGTGGAGGCAACCAGGCAGGTCAACATGCGGAAATGCGAATCCATTCTTCAGACTTACCTGCAAGGAAACGAGCTAATACTGAACGATAGACTCGAAGCAGCAGAAGCAGTCATATACGACAACAACACCTCGAGGGTACTGAGAGGAACCTCTATAACTCGAAGTATGGCTGCTTATAACGCAACTGCAGGATTTGTGTCTCTGGACGAGAGGGAATCCGATCGATGCGGAGTGTTAAAGTTTAAAACTCCTCCAGGGGATTCCCTAGTAGTGGTTGCCAAATGCACCACAATTATGCTGAACGATAGAATATTAGAGATGGCAAGATCCATTTCTGATTCTGGATCAGACGGCGAAGTTTTTGGAGACTGGCATACTCCGACGTTTCGCTGGACAAATGGCGTCCTTGGTTGCGGAAAAACGACATGGATAGCAGATCAATTTGAAGCGGGCAAAGATCTAATTGTCACCACGACAACCGAAGCAGCAAATGACCTCAGAGGCAAACTATCCTGCCGAATCGGAGGACTCGTCAAATCTAGGGTTCGAACAATGGCGTCCATCCTAGTAAACGGCTTGGGGGAGCGAGAGAGCTGCCATCGACTAATGGTAGATGAGGCTCTCATGAACCAGTTTGGAGCCGTTGTGATGGCCGCCCGAATAACTCGAGCCAAGGAAGTCCTTCTAATTGGTGACATAAATCAGCTTCCGTTTATAGATCGTGATAACCTCTTCCCTCTACTCTACAGCCGCCCTACATATATCACGCCCATAAGCCAGGAATTGATGTGTACCCACAGAAATCCAATGGATGTGGCGTATGCCCTCAGCACAGTTTACAGTGGCATATACTCGTCCAGGTCGTTCGTGAGATCCCTCGAGATAAAAAAATTCTCGGGGGCGATGATTCCAAAGTCACTCCCCGACACTTTATACCTGGTACACACTCAGATAGAGAAGGAATCCCTTAAGAACCAGGAATACGGGTCGACCGTGGGATCACGCGTGCTCACGATACACGAGGCACAGGGACTTTCGTGTGCGAATGTGATTGTTGTCAACACAGCAACAAAGAAACATCAAATACATGACAGCGTACCACACGCGGTAGTAGCAATATCGCGTCACACGCATGGTTGCATCTATTACACAGACAACAGTGAAGACGCGATAAGCAAACTAATCAGGAAGGCGGCTGATGAGGGTGAGCAAGGTATTAAGGACTACAACCTGAAAATGGCCATCAAACACAGGGACGCGGCAGTCGTGGGTGCTCTCTTGGGCGGGGAGTGTTGCTTGTGATGGAACGAATGCAACATGAGGAAATGTGTGTGCAGAAACATGTAGAAATAGAATATGACCAATTGAATTTTGGACTATTGTACGCTTTATTGGAATCGGCCCATGTGGCAAGGGTTGAGGCGTCATGCACACATAAATGTCCTACAGTCGGTGGCGCTGTGTGTTGGGTTGTTCCGTTCCCAATAAAAAGGTTGACCGGACCAATTGCTGACACACACGTCATACTCGTGAACGGGTGCCTTCTGCTGGGTCAGGTCGGCTCTCCCATCTTGTTGGTGGGCTGGTTTCATAAAGCCTTTGAAATAGAAATAAATAAATAGTGCCTAATTATTATGTAACCTATACTTTTGGTAATAATTATAGATGTAGTTAATTGTAGTGTGTAACTAGGTTCCCTCTTTACTTTATAAAAATTGACTAGATGTATTATAATTAAAAAACTGTATGACAAGGGCACGGACCTAGAGTCCGTGGAGAAATAATCTATAATATAAAAAAAAAAACCAGTACTAAGTCGAACTTTTGTAAGACGGAAAGGCTTTCTCGACAAAAGCTAGGCATTAGGGCAGATATTACTCTTCAGTAACCTGTATAATCTGCCGCATTATATGGTCTATGGCACATATCCGCCTCGAAACCCAGTCTGCTCAGGAGGCTTATCGAGTCTTCGCACCAGACCGTTAGTAATGACTCTGGAAAACAGCTTATTATATGTCGACGTTTGACCACCATCTCGCCTGATGGTAAGCGATGATGTGGCCGACGATGGAGTACGCCTACCTAAGAGCAACCTGTTCACTCATGCCTTGAAGACACCCAAGTCATATTTGACGGGAAACACAGCCTCTGGCAAGGAATTCCATTCCTTAGCGGTTCGCATGAGGAAGCTTGACGCGAAACGCTTCGTGCGAATGGGTGGAATGTCCACCATATAAGGGTGCCGCCCCGCCGTTCATCTGGGGGTACGGTGGTGAAATGGACTCAGAGACTGGATTTGAGTTGCACTAGTTCGCGCATCGGACACATACCTCTTAACAACGGTGCTATCATCTGCGTACCCAAAGATACCGGGCTGGAGTAGGTCATTAATGTGCAACAAAAAAAGTGTTGCTGAGAGTACTTACCCCTGAGGAACCCCGGCATTAATACCAAGTGGATTGGATGAGCAGCCATCAATGACCACTCGGATCGATCGATCCCTCAGGAAGTCTGTTATCCATCTGCACAAAGCAGTGGGGAGTCCATATGCGGGAAGCTTGCCAATAAGACTATCGTGCCAGACCCTGTCGAAGGCCTTCGAGACATCGAGCGATACGGCTGGCGCTTCCCCGTGTTTCTCGATGGCCTCGCTCCAGATGTGGGTGGCATATGCAAGAAGGTCCCCAGTAGATCGGTTTCGGCGAAATCCGTATTGCTAATCACTAAGGAGATCGTTACCTTCAAGGTATTCCAGGAGCCTGTTATTCAGTATACGTTTCATACTCTTACAGAATATGGACGTGACCGAGATAGGTCTGTAGTTATTAGGGTCGGCACGGCTACCTTTTTTAGGCACAGGTTGCACGTTGGCCAGCTTCCATGCTTTCGGCACTTGACCAGTCTCCAAAGATAGGCGAAATAGACGTGTCAAGATTGGAGCTAACTCAGGTGCACAAGTTTTCAGTACTACGGCCGGGATTCCATCAGGACCACTGGCTTTGTTCACGTCCAGGTTGCGCAACGTTCTGCAGACCTCCTTCTGTCGAATGCGAATGTCCGACATGTTAGCCTCGCATACTTGGTGTAAGGAAGGTGGTGAAGCGCCACCAGCATCAAGACGCGAAGACTCCGCAAAAAGAGAGACGAATAAGTTCGCTTTCTCTATTCGGTTTGAGCCAGCATCCCATCAGACCGCAGTAGTGGTGGGAGTGAGGGGGACAGAATCGATAGTTCTTCAAGAGGGTTTTGTCTCCTTTCTTAAAAAAACCTAACGACAACACTCCTGCTCCGTGCCCTTGGAGTTCTCCCCGAGAAGACAACAGAATCAAACATACTATTACGTTGGAGTAGCTCGAGCACCGGTTTTCTTACTTGCTTTCAGGAGCTCCATCGCGATTCCATCCTCAGCGGGGGCTTGCCCCATAGCCACCGTGATCTGACTTTGTCTGAACTCTGGTAACTTTTTGGTGAAGTGGCGGATAAATGTGGCTTTGGGATACCCCGAATCTGAATGGGGATGGGGTGATTTTGACGGGTACAACTCACCGTAGAAGTGCCGCACCTCCGCGAGAATCTCCGGGCCAGAAGTTACGACTTTCCCACTTGATGTGGTTAGCTTCGTCAGATGACTTTGAGCCAATTGCTGGATGAAGACTTCAGATCCCCGATTTAGCTCCATCGCTTCTTTTATTACGCGTGTATTGGCCCTACGAAGGTCGCGTTTTTATCAGTTTTGAAATACTTTTGTTAAGATCCGAAGCGACGGTTTGGTTTTCCCGTCGCCTCTACATTAGCTGCTGAGACTCTCCCGAAAGCTTGGCCCTCCGTTCGATATTCTGCTTCCAGCACAATTTTGTTTCTTCATTCTGATTCAGATCCCGACCAGTCAATATCAACGCCATTAGTGGTTTCCATAGCAGCAAACTGGCTTTCGAGCTTTAATTGGAATATTTCAGATCCAGCTACGGTTTGAAGCAAGTTCGGTCGGAGCGTAGACCTCATGAGACGGACACGTTTGACTTTGTATTTGATATTTAGAGTGCCTCGTAAAAGTCGGTAATCATTTTCGATATTACACCTTGTGATCACTGAGACATCTTTTGTCCGTCATAATGAAGTATATCTCATTTTTCGTCATAGCGTCGGGGCTTTTCAACGTCCACTTCCGTTGAGGCTGCTTCTTAAAGAAAAAGTTCATCAAGACCGCTCCTTCTCTAGGAAGTTGACTAGCATTTGACCCCTATGGTACCTGCTTCCAAATCCGTGTGGTCCTGCTACCGATTCGCCGCTATTATGTACTCCCACTTAAGCATTGAAGTTTCCCATGACAACGTTGAAGTGCGCCTTTCGGGTCATCACCCAAGGCCAAGGAAGGCCCTGGAAATGTCTTCATACATTTCCTCTACCTCATCATCCGAGTATGTCGAGGTAGGCGCGTACACTTGGACGACCTTTAGGCTATACCTCTTGGTGAGTTTGATCACAAGGTACACTACCCTTACTGATACACTGGAGATCTCTACAACGCTCTCTACGAGAGACATGTGGACCAAAAACCCGAAATACAAGAGATGGCCAGATTCCAAGGTTACAGTATCCTCCCCCTGTCTATCTTCGGACCTCACATAACCCCAGAATAATTATGCCAACTCACGTTTCCCAGCTCCACCTCGACCTACGCCAAATGTTCATCGAGCCGTCGTAGCGTACGTCCGTTGTACTTAGCCAGGGTTAGTTGGTGCTGTCGGCCTTTCGTAGCCCGGGGATTCTTAGCACCCTTTGTCCCGCCGTTACCATGTCCCGCTATTCTCTATATCTGGTTGGTAGGTGAGTACAATGAATAATAATATTTTTTGGTTTTTAGCTTATGGTTTTGGAAGTCGGTTTTTTAAACGTAGTTTCATGTTAGGTACTTCTTACTTTTCAGTTTAATAAGTACATGGGAATAATGAAACAAGTCAAGATAAACCTAACGCTAATAAATGAAATTGGGCCATATTTTTGGGGGTTAGGAATTTGAGGATTGTTGGGGATTCAGGGATTGGGAAACGGTTGGGGGAGGGGGTAAAACAAAATCGTAATAGGCCCTCTGATTCTTGTGCAAGTGAGTTTACCACCACGATCGATTCCGCTAGTGCAATGATAGCCCTCTTCTTTAACAAACTATTTGCAAATATGGAAAGGACAGCTTAAAAATATTGAATGGACACATGACTTCACTCTAGGCTTATACAATATTGCGTGCAGTAAAGCGGTAGGCATTATGCACAAACTCACCTCATTGTAATGGAACCACCTGATGTCTGGTTCAGGATTGCCGGAGACGTGGCATTCAAATTCCACTGCATCACCGTCATACGACAGTAAGTCCGTCAGCTCCCTCTCGAAACGAGGTATCACATCCACGCGGCTGGAATGAAACGATATGGGGGTATTTGTTTAAACAATGTGTAAAAGTAATAAAGGTTCATAAGAAGATTGTGTTTTATTGTAATATGTGGATACTGGTATAGTCCTGGCGATTTTCTAGCGCATACAGCTATAAGACCTTTGGAATTTTGATCAGGTTTGACATTTGGGTGATGCAGAGAAAAGTAAACGATGGGCTTCCATCCACAAAACGGTCTTTTACTCAGTGTTAGCCATGAATTTTATGGGGATTGAAGTAGGTATACCTAAACATTAAAAATACATATATTAAATAAAAATACATATATTAAAAAAAATGATTTTGTGTACTTTCATTAGTACCCCTTTATTGGTTTTCTCCTGTACGTTTGTACAGGAATTTCAATTTGAAATCATTATAGACATGATGTGTTGCTGCCAATCGCCTGACCACAAACGAAATAATTAAAACAATTGCCTATATGGTTCGTTCGTTCGTTCGTTCGGTAAAACAAAAGACTACAACGAATACACCAAATATTGAATTAAGTACTTTAGTAACTATTAAAATTTAGAATATAAATAACTAAAAACTAAAATATTTGCACCTTAACACGTTAACCGCCGCGTAGGTCACCGGTGACCTACGTTAGCGGAAGATTTGCTTTCGACAGTTTTCTGCCGGCAGTCAAAGGCTTAAAAAAGTAATAATCATAAAAAGATATAGTAAGGCTATCGATGTCGTGAGGTAGGGTGCCCAAAAGACTGGTACCATTTTATTTATGTTTTAAGTTGCATATTTTTATGTCATTTAAATTCTTACTAAATAAAATGAAATACTTTAATAAATAATATTTATAGAAACGTATTTATCCAACTATTAAATTATTGCAGGAACGATAACTGTACAATGTCACAATCACATGTGGAGGTGTAAATTTTCACATATGGGCTACTTATCCTTTTAGTTTAGCTGAGGGCGTAATATGAGTTTGTTTTTCAAATTTATCGAAATGAGACCGCTTTCATTGCTGTGATTGGTTGGTTCATTGGAGCCGGCCAAACAGAACGCCGAACCCGGTCTCGTTTCATTTTCGTTAATCGTATGGCGAGCTTGTACTAAGCCTTACTGGCTGCTGAGCAACTTGTCGCGGGTTAAATTCCCGCATGGAACAATTCTTTGTGTGATCCACAGACTGCTGTTCCGGGTCTGGGTGTGATGTGTAAGTGAATTTGTAGGTTTGTAGCACCCACGACACAGGAGAAAAAGGTCGTATTGTGGGGCAACATTTGGATTTATTGGACTTACCCATATCTCACGTTGTGCGAATCGTCAGTCGACGAAGGATCTGAAAACAAAAAGTAGTACTACATTAAATTGTCAGTTTTAGATGACGCTCGAATACACATGTTTATTTATATTATGTTTATTTATTTATTTTGGTGATAGAACACTAAAAAAGAGAATACCATATCTATTGAATAGTCTGCCTGCAGACATATGCAGTGAAACAAATACAAATAGGTTTAAATTTAAATTAATGTCATATTACCTAGAAATGTTTTTATTCTATATAAGTTTCCTGTATGATATTAATAAGTACATTTAATCGTAATGCCTAGTGACCCCACCCCACAGTCAAACCATTGCAACGTTTTTGTGGGGCTGAAATTATAACATACTTACCTATGTCATTTTAAAATAAATAAACATAACATAACATCACGCCTTTTATCCCCGAAGGGGTAGACACTAGGCAGAGGTGTACATTACGGCATGCTATTGTACAATGTAACACCCAGTTTTTACTATTTATGTTATTAGCCCCATGTAATAGGGGGTGAACCTATTGCTATATACCAGGCACAATTCCAGACTCCGTGCTACTACTGAGAATTTATGATCGAATCGAAGAATTTAATCGTACCCGAGACCCCTTCCCCGACAGGCGCACTTGCGACCACTCGTCCAACGAGGCATAAATAAACAATATTAAATAATTATTGGGGACACAGTATAGTTCTGATCTGATTTATTATTTAAATGTTGATTAAATTTATTGAACATGTATTATTTTGATTATTGTCTTGAAGTTGACTACTTTAATTTGATTTTAATTATTATATTTGTTGGAAATGTCGATGGAAACGGTAGTAAAGAGAACTATTCAGTTTGTCCACAATAAAGTATTGTAATCACAATGATAACAATCAGTAAAGTTATGTAAGCTTATTACTAAAGATGGTAATATTACACCCATTTGACATTTAGAATTATCTTAAGAGATGAGCGCGATCGCGTAACGACGTACCACAAAGGAATGTCTGCCTGCCCCTTCCCTGTATCGGTGGCGTGGGCTGGCGTCCCTAAAAAACCCGCTTTCTCGTTGCAAGCATCGCGTCCCTTAACTGTTTTTGTCTTACCAATGCTAACACGAGACATGTCACATTCCAAACATACGAATTCGCGTCTACTAATAAGAAACAAAACAACGCCCTCTATAATAAAACTAAGAACTATTTGGTAAGCATACCGATGATCACGTCACCTGTACAATTAAGTGAGAACTTAAAATAAAGCAACCTATCGTTATGACTTATGATTAAGGAGCTGGACAGCAATCGTCGTAGACATGGTCACCAACGGTTCTTCGACATATTTATATCATATTATTATAATCCAAACTAATATTATAAATGCGAAAGTAACTCTGTCTGTCTGTCTGTCTGTCTGTCTGTCTTTGCTTCACGCCTAAACTACTGAACCGATTTGTGTGAAATTTGGTACAGACATAGTTTGGAACTTGAGAAAGGACATAGGGTAGTTTTTATTACAAAAAAATAATAAAAAAAAAAATTTCGCACATACAGCGCCATCTATTGGTCAAGAGTCGGCATCAATTCAGTACTGAAAATTCAACGGGAAAATGTATATAAATAGTAAAAAGGTACGAAAAATATAATATAATACAACTTTTAGTACAAAGAAAATGCTCTAACGGAGCATAGATAATTCTATTATGTCGAGTTGGTG